ATATATATATATATATATATATATATATATATATATATATATATATATATGCACATAAGTTTTTTAAATGTAATTGTATAAAACAAACTTAGTTTGATAATGTGGACATGGAAAAAATATGTTCTAATATTTTACACAACATAAATATTTAAAAGACATCTTAGAAACATCTGAAAGAAATTCTACTTGTTTTAGATATTTTTTAAATGTCTCTCTAAAATATATTTCAGACTGTTTGGGGTATGGTACGATACCTAATTTGAAATATATTATACTATCGAAACACTCCCTGTAGCACAAAAAATCTAAATAACCTCAGGATCTCGGAACACGTGATTATATATTATCTTAACACGCTCGCTACTACGATTTTTAGAGGACTCTCCCCTCAAAGATCACCTCATATATATGTATAAATTTTTTAAACGTAATTGTATAAAACAAACTTAGTTTGATAATGTGGAAACATGATAAAACATTTTCTAGCGTCACACAGTGACGAACATGTAACACTAGTAGCGAACGTAGGAAACGGAGAAAAAGATAAATCGAGAAATATCTTTTCTCTAGAGATAATACATTTGTTACGGTTCATTTTGTAAGGAACGTATAACGCTAGTAGCAAACTGTGAAACAAAGAGAAAGAAAAATCGAGAAATATCTATCTTTCTTCTGAAAGTAACGTGTTCGCTACGGTTCATTTTGTGAACCGTCCTCATAGACTACCTTGATTTTGCTGATATAATAGACTAAAATGAACTTATCTTGTTTATGTGTATGTAGAAAAAAAATTTTCGCTATATATATGATATTCACACATATATGATATTAATTTCTCGTGAAAGTTCGATGCGTCAAACATGTGCGACGCAGATAGCGACTACTAGAAATTGTATAAGTCCGGATAGCAGAAAACGTTTGAAGGTAATTTAAAACTTCCCAAAATATCCCAAGAGTATTCAAAATGGACAGGAATTTTTGAGCTAGAATAATAGAAGAGAACGACCGTCCAATATAGTTATTCTCAACATTCCTTCCTAGTATAAAGGAAATTATATTTTCTCTTCTATTGTTCGCAGATAGCATAGAAAATTTCTGTGTCCATTTTGAATACTCTTGGGTTTCAGAATATTCTATACATATCTTAAATCATCTTGAAAAATGTTGTGCTATTCTATACATCGAAGAAATATATAATATATAAGAAATGTAAGAAATATATTCGTATAACAGAAATATTTAGTACTTTCAGGTATACGTGAATATATACGAAAGAAAAACGTTAGTCGTATCGATATATTCAGCGAAAAAAAATTTGAATTTGATGTAAACGTTGACGATCGTTATCTCCTGGCACTGTTGCGAGAGATGAAGACTTCAACAGCGCTTACAAGGTGAGATTATAATTAAACATGTGCAGTGTGAGAGAGTATGAATATTCTTATTCTTTACATATAATTCAATTGTCATCAATATTACAGTGTATGAACGATTTGTTTGAATGATTTAAACTTGTATCAACGTAACTAATTGCTTTATAATTTCGTTACTTCGCACCTTACAGTAATTCGAACACATTCACGTACACAGACCATTTATAATAGCTTTAACATGTGTGTGGTAAAATAAATTATTAGTATTTTTTAATTGTACAATCAGTTGCAAATCGGTTTTCATATTTTTATCGAGTGAACCTGCAACGTTGGAAACTTGAAGCGTTTACATGTTCGTTACGAAATAAACCGTAGTATTGCAGCTTCTTTCGATAAAAGATGTGCGAACCGACTGTACAGATTTGCTTGTAGACATTAACATGGAACTATTGCCGTCACAAATTACTGCTTAGACACAATTGAAAAACCTTAATAATTTCGTTTTATTACATGTTAAAAGAGAGAGAGCTTCTTGTGCTGTTCTGTGTACAACTTTTAGAAGAGAGACGAACACGTCGACTTTTCCTTTTATCCTTTTAGTCACGCGGTGCGAGACTTTTACAGTGTATGATACAAAGAGAGAGGGAAAAAGAGATTCAACAGCTTCAACAGGAAAGAGAGTTTCAACAGCTTGGAATATATTTAAAGCAGGTCGTATAAATCGATGCACAATCGCCCTGATACTTTCGTTACATGATGAGCGACATTTTATTTCAATACATTATACACACATTCATACACACTCATATACACACAAACACACTTCACTTATTCGTTGAATTGCAATTACAATGTTAACGTACTGATACATTTTGTCAGATAAGTGGAGGAACATTTACTTACACACGAGTTTCACTCGATGGAGTTGTCGTACTGCAAGCACTAATGAACAGTGCGTGGTACATGTTACTTATTATTTTCATTGTGTGTGTGTGTGCAATTTGCTGCGAGACTTATTATTTTTTTTCACACCAGGAATATAAAAAAAGAAAGTGTCGAAGATTATGTACGCGCTTGCGACTGTACATTTCTAAGAAGTGAGAAATAAAACAAATAGAAACATTCCAATGTGTTTCAACGAAAATTTGTGCGCCCAAAAGCGCGACGTTTACATTCTCCATCATCTCGGCTTCCTTGTGCGAATTGATCTAGATCGCGGCGCACTGGATCCAGTCCCGATGCTGAACATACCCGGGGTTGCAGGATTGAAGGCTGGCGTGCCGGATGTCCCGAAATTGATAGTCGGAGTCGGCGAGGGTGCGGTGAAATTGAAGCCCGTTGCTGCTGAAAATTCAATGCATAATTAACGTTAATAATAAGTTACATCCATAATTAACGTAAACAGATTAAAATGTTCGAACGAACAATTACACGGGCAAGAGGAAAAGAGAAAAAGGAAAATTCTCGCGGCATGAAAATTTTTAATTTTTATTCCTCGTGCCCGAAATCAATTGCAGTTTTGACGAGCCTTAATTATCCCCATGATTACATTCACATTAATCAATATTTTCACTGTTCTTCTAAGAAATCATCCGCCACAAAATCATTCTATATTTTTTTTTATACATTGATCTAAAAAAAATTGAAACTTACTCAAGGCTATCCCAAATATCCCAAGGGTATTCAAAATGGACACAGAAATTTTGGAGCTACATTGTTCTGCGAACAATAGAAGAGAACAAGCGCCTAGTATAATTTCCTTTCTAAGGAAGGTTGAAAAAAAATTATATTGGACGGTCGTTCTCTTCTATTATTCTAGATAGGTCAAAAATTCCATTTTGTCCATTTTGAATACTCTTAGGATATTTTGGAGAGTTTTAAATTATCTTCAAACGTTTTCTGCTATCGGGACTTATACAATTTCTAATAGTCGCTATCTGCGTCACACATGTTTGACGCGTTGAACTTTCATTTGTTTATTTTATTTGTTTATGTGTGATTTTATCTGTTTATGAGTGATTTTATCTGTTTATGTGTGATTTTAGTCCTTCGTGAGACATCGACGAATCACACATGTAATAAACGTGCCCAGAGAGACTTTCATGATTATATGAAATTTAAAAACGCAGCTTTAGGCAAATTAAAATCTAATCCTAATAGCCTAATCACCAATTTAGAATCACCAATACTTAATTTGTTATCATTAATTATTAATTTATCATGTATGATTGTATTAGGTGCCAAGAAGATTTGCCGTTTGTTTATTAAATAAAATAAAAATCTTATCCAACTTTAAAAGATTAGTCATTTTTACGAATAAAATGGATATCAATTCGTATTTTTTTACGCATCAACGAGGCTTCATATTTCCCTTTTAATATCTAAATTGTCTATGAGAATTTAACAGAAAATTAACAAACCTTTTGCACTAACTTAAAACCAAGATAGGCTTTCGTAATTTTGTAATTATCACAACGAGAGACAAATTGATGATGGAAACTTTATAATTTTTTTTAATTACATTTGAAGAAAATATACTGTGTTGAATTAATCATTAAATTTCCGTCATAAAATAATATAAATTTCTTATACTGATGCTGCGACAAATTTACTAGAATTTACTAGAATTTACAATACTTTATTTTTAAATTGTAATTTACATCACATAGATCCATATTAAAGCTCCTGGATACTCACCGCGGCCAAATAGGATTGTAACATCAGAAACGAGAAATGAGAAACTGAGAATTCTTGCATGCCACTTTCAAATAAAAAGATATTTATACGAAAGAACATTTCAGATCGTTTATTTGCAAAATGTTCCAAAGAGTATCCTTTTCTCTCGATAGTCGATAATAAAATAAATAAAAATGAACGTGACAAAATAATGAAGATAGGTTTAAGAAAAAAATTGCATGTCACGTTGATTTTAGAGCTATTTATAGATTATTAAGGGAATCACGTTGATTTTAGAGCTATTTATTGACTATTAAGGGAAGAGGAAAGTTTTTGGAGCATTTTTCAAATATGCTTAAGCGATTAGAAGTGTTCTTTCATACAAACATTTTTTTACTTGGAAATAGCACGCAAGTATTTTGGATATGAGTTTTCTCGCTTCTGACGTCATCAATCTAGAATTCCACAGCGAGTAACCAAGAGCTTTAATAACCATTATTTGAAATTTGCTACAGATATTCAGGTACATATTTAGAGTTAGATGTAAACTCTTTGAGCTTTGTGAGTTAAATTATGATTACAAATATGTCACATGTATTATATGACTCAATTAAGAAATTCTGATCTAATTCTAAATTCCGACCTTACTTGTCTCAATAAGACAAGTTTCAAGTAAGAACTATTAATATAGACCTTAGGGCCGATTGTTTCAACTTTTTGGTAAGCTGGTGACAGTTAAATAATGTGTCTGTTTCTATCTAATTTGAAGAAAAAAAACGGAAACAGACACATGACTTAACTGTCAAGTAGCTTACCAAGAGGTTGGAACGGTCGGCTCTTAGTGTGCATTTTGAACAAATTTTAATATTTTTCGTATTCTTCTCGCATTTTTATTTCATTATTTTATGTGATAAATAAGAGTACTATGTCATCCGCCGCTCATAAAAGATACAACCTTGACAAGTTGACAAATAAGGTCGCTGTAAAATTTTTCTTGTCTCTCTGAGTATTGATATTCTCCCAAAACTTGGTATTTTTCCCCCGATTTCCGCTGATTTTCAGGAGGCTCCACCTCGCGTTTTTCTCTTTGCCCTGTCACTATTGTTTTCAATAGTTCTCCACGTCATCCATGAAGTATTATTCCTATTAAACTTACCTGGATATCACTTAAAAAACAAAAAATGTAATAGAATCTCATGGATAACGTTGGATGGAAAATGATTAAAAACAAATATTCACAATAAAAATAAAAATTTGATAAGATATACTGCATCTTTAAAAGAAAGATTCTACAAATCTTATTTTTCTTACTTCTCTATATCCAATAGCACGATATATAAAGACATACCTGAAACTCGAACAACTCGTAAGTTGCGTGCGAGGCGACAAGACAAGGAGAAAAACACAAGACGGTGCCTTCCGAAAATCGGCCGGAAAATACATCGTTTACCGACTTTCAATCAGTGGTGATTACCTGGCTTCGTAGTCGTGGATCCAAATTGAAACGGCGCGGGCGACGCAGTAGTGGGGTTGTTGCTGCCTGCGTTGAAGTTGGACGCGAAGCCAAAGCCAGCGGCTTGTTGTTGTCCGTCCTTCTGATTGTTCCCGAAGAACATGCCGCTTGCGTTGTTGCTCGTGTTGCCGGCGTTCTCGGCGCCGAATGTCGCTAGGGACAAGTTGCCAAAGGTACCCGCCGAGGTAGAAGACATAGTCCCGAAGAGAGGTTTATTGTCACTGAAAGTGGTACCGCCGCCGCTGCCGCCGCTTGAAACGCCGAAGGTGAGATTCGCGGGATTCTGCCCGCCAAAGGCGCTCGTGTTGGCCGTGGAGGCGAAAGCCCTGCCAGCTGGTTCGCTGGTACTCGCTCCGAAGAGGGGAGTCGACGTGTTGTCAGTCGAACCGAACATATTGTTCGTACTGCCGAAAGCCGACACACTCGTGTTCTGTGGTGCGTTCGTCGTGATTGCCCCGGATGCGCTACCGAACGCAGACGTTGTGTTGTTCACGCTGCTGTCGAAGGCGGACGTAATTGCGCTGCTGGTGGAGACATTGGTGATGCCGAAGGTGGGCGCGCTTGTGGTCTGTGTCGCGCCGAACAACGACGTAGACGTGTTGCCGAATATGCTGGCGTTAGCCGTGCTGAAGGACGTCGAAGGCTTAGTCTGCCCGAAAATAGGAGCCGTGACGTTTCCGAACATTGCCGACGCAGTGGTCGAATTGTTAGTATTGACATTAGCTTTGCCGGCGAACAGATTGTTAGCAGCCGTGCTGTCTGCCGAGAGTACACTGGTCGTCGCGGGGAAGATCGACGCCGCCATGGGAGAGTTGAATATACTTGTGGTACCCGTCGTTGACGTGTTGGCGCCAAAAACCGTTTGGCTGTTGGTTGTGCTGAAGATGCTCGTTGTTGTTGTAGTTGTAACTGACGTGTTACCGAATATGGATGTGGTGGCTGGACCGAATTGCGAAGCGCTGGTCGTAAGTGTTCCAAACCGCGAAGTCGCGCTTGTCCCAAACTGCGGAGCGCTGATCGTAGGCGCTCCGAATTGCGAAGCGGTGGTCGCAGGTGTCCCAAATTGCGGCGTGGCGATTGTGGTGGTTGTTCCAAACGCGGCCACAGTATTGTTGCTCATCGCACCAAAGGCTGTGGTACCGCTGGCAATTGTAATAGGCGTAGATGTCGCACTTGTGACACTAGTGGTGCCAAACACGAATAGAGGCTTAATGACGGATGGAATAGAAGGAGCAGACGTGCCCAAAGTGAACGTAGGCGTGCTAGATAGCCCAAATGCTGGCGTAGCAGTCGTGGTCATAGTTGTAGTCGTGCTGAATGAACTATTAGTCGTAGTCACCGCCGAGTTATTCGACGTAAAACTGAAAGATTTACTCGTGTCCAACGACGACGTCGCCTGGCTATTCGCGATGTTTCCGAAAGCATTCGTGGATTGTATATTACCACCGGACTGACCCAACCCGAATATGCTTGATGACTTTGGAGGTTGCGAAGCAATACTACCTCCTCCGAAAGAGAACAACGGCATCTGTGCGGGCGCAGATGTCGTTGTCGTCGTCGCGATGCTGTTCAATACATTACTCGCGATACTAGTGAAACCGGCGATATTGGTCATGCTTATGCTGGTTGGTAATGACGTCGTTCCGGTGAACTGAGGCGGCAAGTTCGATGCCAAAGTATGCTTTGGCGTCGCAGTGGACGCAGAGAGCTTGCTGGTGGCAAAAGCAAACATAGAACTTGCCTGAGTATTCGCCGTTGACGCCGTGATGAACGAGATAGCGTTCGCGCTCGTGGTAGCAGTGTTATTCGTCTCGACCTTGCCGCTTGGCGCACTGCTGGAACTTATAGGCACGAACGCCAAGGTCGATGGCGTCTTATCAATACTAAGGAAATTGGTGAACGTTGATACAGTAGGCGTCGCGGTGGTAGCAACAGTTGACGTCTCGAGAATGCTGTTAGAAACATTGTGAGCTCCAAAGCTCGGCAACGTGCTCGATGTCACAGTTGGCGACGTTTCCGTAACCTGTTTCCCGAAAACAAACGTCGGTGGCATCGGCGTTATTGCGCTCGAAGTTGAAGACAGGTCTTTTGGTAACGACTCTGTGCTCACGGCCGTCGTCGTCGCGATTTTCGCTTGAGCGTTTATCTTAGGTTTCACGTTCGCTACTTTTGATTCCGGAGTAATTATCGTTGGCGCGTTCGATTGTGCTGACGACGCTGGATTCGGTAAGCAGAAAATCGCGGCCGGCTTTGTATCGGGTTTCGACGTGAGCGTGCCACCCGGCACTATGGCCGCAGTTGAAATCGGTGTCGTATTGACAGTGGTCGTAGTAGTCGAGGAGTTGAGAGTTGCACGACTACCGGGTTGTGAGGATGTAACGACTGGCGCGACCTCGTTCACATCTGCCTGAATCACGTCCGCTTGAATCACGACGTCTGGATTAATTCTGCTCTCCGCTGAAAACACGATAACGAAGTTAATGCTTGAGATAGTCAAACCAAGATGTTTTTATAAAGGAGTAGAGGCTTTGCCTATCTCTTTATTTATTACTTTACTTATCTATTCACTTACAAGGAAATCCACAATAGCGTTAAGTAAAAGTGTGTGAGAAGTATCAATGCCAATAAAAGCTTCCAAGATATCGATATATACTAGAATCTTAATAAATAATAAGGTAAATATGCACTATAACATCTCCATCTTGGATTTTTTCAAACTTTGTAAATTTATATATTATTACTTATTCTAAAACTCACTAGGTAAAGCCTCCTGCTAAACTATTAATTCATAGCAATATCGTGATAGCTTTTATACCGATGTTTATGTTATATGTATCCTACTGCAAATAAAATTATGCTGCTTTATCATCTCCAAATGTCACTGCGCCTTATAATTTTAACAAACAAGATAATGTTTTGCTGAGTACAAAACTTTCTACATAATCTTTCACATTTCTCTAAATATCTCCTTTTGACACTCAACTATTTTAATTTCTTCTCAAGCAACTAATTTCATAGGATACATCCGTTTGCGAAACAATTTGAACGCATTTTTTTCAAGTGTAGTGTAGCTAGTATGTACATCAAATGATAAGATTGCAAACTACTACTCACAAACCTGTGCCTGACAATTTAGATTTAAACCTTAAGATAAACCTTTAGATTTAAACTTTTAGATTTAAACTTTTAGATAAAAACTGAATAGCATTAATAAGCGTATGTGAGACACTCGGCATCACAAATGCAAGAATTCAGAAAGAAAATTTAAAAAAAAGATAAGTATCTTTATTATATTCTTATCTATCAGATAAGAATGTAATAAAGGGTCAATAATTATATCATGTATTGTTATATTAGTTTTTGTTACAATCGATTGTCACATAAGTCCGTAAGCAGTGGCTCGGAATTTTTATTATCTCATGCGTCCTCCTAACTTCATCGAAAAGATACGTTTAGTTTCACAAACGAATATATATATACTTTATATATAATATAGATAATTTAGATTCCACGATATTATAAGATATTGAAGTAATCTATTTGAACATAAAAAATCTCAATGTTATAAAAATAAATTGCAATTAATAGAGTATATTTAAAAACATAACATTTTTCAAAAATTTTAAAAACTTGTAAAGTATATCTAAAATTGTAATATTTTCAGTTGAAAAATCGAGGTACACTATTGTAGGTTTCCTTATATTTTAGCAGAATTGTACAATAATTATTTAATCAATGAAAAGTTAAATTAAGAAGTTAATAACCTTTAAGTTAAAAATTAAAATTAGACATTAAAAAAATGAATAACTTTTAACTTAACTTAATTAATTTTAAATTAGTTAACTTTTAAACTAATTATCCCAAAATGCATTATCTTTAGCTTATTAGTTTCTTTTATAAAAGTTAAAATAATTCATGAAGATTAAAATCATATTCTGAACTGTTTACAAATAAAATAAAAAGAATAAAAAATAATACCAATAGAATTTGTCTTTTCGAGTACCAGTGTTTTTTCTTATATGAAATCCTGAACACAAAACAGTTGATATTTTCTTATATATAAAAGACTATACCTTTTCATATTCTCTCACATAAATTTAATCTATGCTTAAGAAATTAATCATGTAAAAAGCATCCATGTTTTACACAATTAACTTTTAATTTTAATAATTTTTTACTTTTAAATTTAATTTTAACTTAACTTTTAATTCAGCTAGTTTTTGCTTACGTAACTCTTAATTTAACAAAGTTAAATATTTAGAGGTCATTAATATTAAACTTAATTTAAAAAAATTACTCTATTAGTGTGAAATAGATTATGATACGTACCTTTTCCCGATATCGCATCGAACATACTTTGGAGTCTCGCTTTCATACTGGTTTGCCTCATATTCCGTATATCCTCTCTTTTTATCTCCTCCACGTTGTTCTTCGCAAATGTAGCCTTTACACTGCCCTGTTCTTCTACTAGTAACTTCAACCATTCATTCCGTTCGGGTTCGTCTTTCATAAACAATTTATCCGCCAATTTAACGGACTTTGTTGGTGCAACGGTCTCGGCGTCGCCTCTAATTTCGACGCTTTTCGTATTCTTGTGGACCGTTGACACTGGTTTATTCAATTTGAATTTAGATTCATTATTAGGTGTCTTCAGTATTCCCTTCGTCAAAAGAGTTTCTTGGATTTTGTCGCAGGTGAGAGTCTCGGGACTTCTTGAGTATATTTCTTTAATTTCAGGTCTATGACTATGACTTATATCTAAGTTTTGAGACTGTGGCGAATTGAGAGAACGGGAATTACTAGACTGTGTGCTTTTCAGAGACTTGAAATGCTTCTCGAAATCGGGTGTTCCGCTGCGCGAGAAGTCAACTGTGGAGAACAAATAATATTTATAAAAATTATATACAGTCATGTAATGATATATGTAGTACACTTAGGCCCATATTAATAGCCGTTATTTGAAACTTGTCTTACGTGAGATCTGAATTTAGAGTTAGATGAGAATTTTTTTTAATTATATTACATTCACAATCGTAATTCAGTTGAAAACTCACGTCTAACTCAAAACTGAAACCTAAGCATCTCATCTGAGACGAGTTTCAAATAATACGACTATTAATACGGACTTATGATTGAGACTCTTTTATAATCTGTGGAAAAAGAAATATGTCCAAAAATATTGATCTTCAACAAAATTATAGTAGTTTAAAGGCGCCTGGGTCTAGCTTTAGTTACAAAACTGTTTATACACAATGAAATTGTGATCTCAACAGCCAAATTGAGAGTCATTGCTGTATATATATATGATGAGCTTGCGCAATAATAATATTATTAATTGTCCCTTCGCGCACAATCACATTTTTTGAACATACAGTACAATCTAAGTCCGTTAGACTCAGGCGCCTTTAAACTACTATAATTTTGTTGAAGATCAATATTTTTGGACACATTTCTTTTTTCACAGATTATAAAAGAGTCTCAATCATAAGATAATAACGCAATAAAATAAATATCTGCAGATTTGCGCTATTTTAAAATTTTTCCGGATCCTTTTTTTCTACACAGCTTGGTACTTACAGTTGTTTCAATAATTATTTGTAGGAGGTGTGCTGTTGGCTTACTGAATCGATTTTTTAAGAAAGCTGTCGAAGAGATGAGAGAAAATATGTCGGATATGATAGACTAGGCCAGGAATCAAGTATTTAGCAACTTTATAAAAATTGATGAGTGATCAGAATATTCGTTTGGGATACAACATTATATGCAAACGATTATTATTTATTATTAATAATTATCTTATTACCGTATAAGCCCGTCGATAATGATTTTAAATTTAGTGAGCGCTTTCATTCTGAAGCAAAATTGTGTCATAAATCTCATAAAGTTTACATCTATACAGATTATTTCTATGTAATATATATATGGATATTTTTCATATAGACAATGTAAATTATATAAGAAATATTGCAAATTAGGTATTAAAACATACAAGAAAAAGTAATTAAATTATAAAATAGTTATATTGCATGTATGTTTTGAGTATTAATTATAAATATAAAGTTTAAAAGAGATAACAAATCGCACGAAACTTTCATTTCATTATGTGACAAATTGATAAATTAAACTGTCTGTAGTCAAGAATCTAACCAAAGAATTTTACGGACTCCAATTTGTTTAGGAAATAATGATCATAAATTTTGACACCAAGATCATAAAGATTGAAGAAAAATTAAAATTTTTTTTATTAATCTGTTGGCAAACCATATATTCTTTAAATGACATCCATAGATAGATACCCACAAATGGAAAGACATTCATTATTCATTTTGTCTACATATAGATATAGAGTATCATAATTTTCCCAACCCTGGTCTAAACCATTTTCTGCAATTAACTATACATATGTAATAAAACGCGATAACTCACTTGCTTTCCTCTTTATACCAGAAGAAACATGGATACTGGAGCTCAAGGAGTTTAAGATATCGTAACAAGATTGCGTTTTTGTTCGTTTCTTGGCAGGTCTGATGGAAATATTCTGAGGAGAAAGTTCCTCGTCCGATTTAGAATCGTCCCTGCTGCGTTTCTGCTTGGTCTCTTCTAATACCATTTCTGTCTCCTCATCGAAGAGATCTTCCGTCCTCTGCTTCTTAGCCACATCAAAGGTAACATCTTCCCTCGACGCGTGTCGTTTCAACGATATATCTCTCAAGACCTGGACAACGCTCGTGGTTGACTTGTTGCTCGGCGCATGACGAATGTTAGACAGAAGTCTCTGCCTTTCCGGTGGAGAGTATCTTGTAACTTCTGGTGGTGCCAATCTGACTGTTACAGGCATCCTCAACTTTGTCGATTTTGTGTTCACCAAAGGAATAGGACTAACATGGAGATTAACTTTGGGGAACTGTCCTGTACCATAATGCGACTGGTGGGTTAATGTGTTCTTTGCTTCTGTAGCATACTTAGTCAGCCTTGTTGTAAGTCCCGGTGATAACACATCTGTGTACAGCCTATGATTAATAGAACAAGAATCACGCAAAGTGACCAATTTTAAGACCCCTAGCTATCCCACTGCTGTAGAAACCTTGATTGATGACATCAGAAATAGAAAAAACACATGGCAAGAATTCTTGCGTGTCATCCTCAAATAAAGATATTTGTATTGAAAGAATACTTCAGCTCTTAAGTATACTTATCAAATGCTCTATCAAAACTATCCTTTTCTCTTGACTGCCAATAAATAACTTTCAAATTAATGTGACACTCAACCTTCCTTTTAACCTTTTCTCATGATTTTGCCATATTAACTTGAACGCTATCTATTAACTGTCAAGGGAAAAGGATAGTTTTTTTGATATTTCACTTATTACGCTCATGCAATTTCATATAAATATCTTTTTATTTGAAAATGATACGCAAGATATCAAAAAATTGGCACGTGTTTTCTTACTTTTGACATCAATCCAGGTTTCAGTAACAGTAGGACCAAGAGTCTTAACTGCAAGAAATTATATAGCATTAGATCCTTGAACATAGGTAAATATATTATACAGAGAAGTTTGTACTTACTTTGGATCAATATTGTATCGTGTAGATGCCAATAGTGGCCCAGCAACTGTCTGGACTGTCTTCATGCCTGCTGGCCTAGGGCGCATCTTGGGGCTGATACTAGTACCCCAGGGAGAGCCATCAGGGCTGAACTGTGTGATATTCTCACCATGGCTCAGCTTATGACTTTGAGTATATAAAGGTGAAGTAGTCTTGGCAGGTGACAGACATATATCACCATTGCTAAAGTCATCTCTGTCGGCAGGTCGGAACACTGGTGTAGAGGTGTGCTTGCCTAAAATGAGCTGAAGCGAACGCTCGTGGTCGCCGACTGGGCAAAACCTGTGGTACGTCGTATCGGCTTGACGTGAAGCTTGATAAGTATTACGCCGGATCTGGCCCAATTGATCGATCGGGCTAAACCTGGTCGACAACGAGGACGGCGTCGGCGTCACCGAGTCCCTAGTCCTGATAGCGGCTGTGGTGTAAGAGTCGCTACTGAGCTGATAACTCTTATTATCTCTGCTGCGTCGCTTGTCCATCCTGAATGGAAAACGGTCACGGTAATAACGGCTCGCGCTATGCCAGAACTTACGCACGTATCCGCTAACGTAGCTGACTGCGGAATCCAATGCCGCGTGTAGCTCGACTATCGCCTCCCGCAGGTAGACAAGTACGTAATAAGCCTGCGGAGACACTAGGCTGTCGTTGGCGAGTAGCGAGTAGCACGCGTACACCACCAATAGCAACGACAGAACGAGCGCGAGAATCGCGCCCCAAGCGTTATAAACCAACACGCACCCGCACGTCACACAGATCAACACCACGGCAGCGCGGTTACCGAGGTTCCACATATTACTTCAAAAAAGTAACCTCCCCATATTTAAAAAGAGCACACTCACCGCAGCCGCGCGAACTTGCCGCGGGCGGGCAGACGATGAGGTCATCGATACATCGGCACTTACGATTGATCGAACGTTCCACGCGAGGAAATGGTCGCCTGAGTCGCCGTTGAGTCACACTACGCCGCGCTGTTGGAAATTGTACAATACTCTTCGACTGCGTTCCTTTTGGGCGTTCACGTGCTTTAAGCGCTTATAAGCGTCACTCTATCTTTCTTCCGCATTAAATGAGCGATAAAGATAGAATAACGCTTACAACACGTAAGCGCCCAAAAAAAACGCAGCCTCCGAGTACGCGTATTTAAGGCTTATCTACAATAGCTATAATATCGGTCGCAATAATTCGCAAATTTTATCGCAGCAATCATTGCGAATTCATCGCAATTACGAAGTGATACTAAAAACTGTTGTCTTGTGGGATTCATGTGCCAGGAAATCTCTCTATTTAGAGTTCCCTCATAGCTAATCGGCATGCACTAACCATTGGTCTACATTCGGAGATTTGACTTAAAGGACGTCTACATTGGAAGTAAATAGCAAGAAGTAGGAAGAGTAAGAAATTGACCAATCACAGTCGAATGTGAGAAGAATAATCAACTATGATTGGTCAATTCTTATTTTTACTTCTTACTTCTTACTGCTTACTTCCAATGTAGACGTCCCTTTACGCCTTAAAAATTGATCAATCATAGTAAACTATTATAATGGCTCCTGCACACAGGACGCGATAATGCTTACCGCGCGACGGAAGTCCGCACGACAGCCAATCTCATTTCACCGCACACTCCCCCCACCCAGCTTGTCTATTACTTAAATTGTCGTAGCGATTTTTTTTATATTTAATTAAGATAAATTTAAATGTATTCCAAATTTTAGAATTTTATCTTTAACAGTTTGTTTTCTATAAATTCCAAAAAATTACCCATTTTTCCTGGCCAACAAAGTAGAAACCCTCCTTAAGCAACGCAGTCAGGATGAATAGGTGGTGGCATACCGCTTCAGATTCAAAATTATCGAGAGAGGATTCACGAAAGTTTTAGAGTGTGTTTGACAATTCTCGGTTTCTAGCAGTTATAAGACATAAGAAAATTAGGAATTAGTTTTTAGTATGAAACAATAAGAATAAATAAGACGTTTAAATGTCAAGGAAAAATTAACAATCGCAGACATTTTTATATTATATCAAGGTTTATGCAACGTTGATTCAATGTTTCTCAATGTTGCTGCAATATTAATATTGTTGCAATTCAACATTCTTTCAACATTGATTCAACATTACTGTGCCGTATGAGGCTTCACATACAATCTGTGTCTGTGAGATCCAAACGAATATTGGTTTTTATTTTATTTGTACACTGTATATTTTCTACTTTTTCTATATAGAAAACAAATTTATAAACAATATAGATTTTCAATAAAGCTGTAGCAATTTAAAGTTGCCAAGATCTCGGACATTCATATTGTAATGTATGTCTAGAAAATATGATTGTTTACGAAGTGTTAATATTGGAAATGTAAAATACATTTTAAATAAAATTTTTCAATAACTTGAATGTAGAATTAATAATAAATAAAAGAATAGTATATTAAAAATAATATAAATTTTATAAAGAAACAAATTAAATATATAGAATGTCATTACGAGTATTCAGTACAGGCTAATATTTGTGACATTAAACGAAATATGAAATTCTTATTTTGCACTATTGATATTCTTATTTTGACTATTTGATATCGAATTATCGTCCCTTAATATATTATGCATGCTTCAAACTGTCACTAGAAAACAAGAATTTTATATTTCGTTCAGTTTTAGAAATATTAGCTTCTAACATTTTTAGTGATTCATACTGCAATTGGAAAAATTAGAATTATTGAAAATTCAGTCTTGTAATTTGTTTCTTTAAAGAGATTATGCAAACATAAACATAACGTAAGTTAATGAAAGTCTTTGAAACAAAGGACAGCACTGCTTTGTAAGTATAAATATCTATATATTTCCATAAGTGTTTAAACTTTAGATTCTCATTGGATTTCTCTTCACACTTTCTATTCATTTTGCTACTCTTGTAGGTCACTAAAATCGGTATCGTAAAAGCAGTGCTGTCCTGAGCGAAATACACCTCCTTGCATAGCTGCTCCAAGTCTCAGCTGACTGACATACTGCAAGACGGATTTCTTTAAAATATATGATGTTAATATGTTGTTAATTTATTGTTTTAATAAAAAAATATTCTAAAAAAATAAAAATATTGTTCTATAAAGAAAATAGTGGTCCCTATTTCCTGTTTCTCTCTCTCTCTCTCCCTCTCTACTTTCCTCTTAATACTTTTCCAATTGTAAAAGTATACAAAGAAAAGTATGTAATGATGTACTGATATTGGCTCACTCACTCATACATCCTTTTTGTCTATCTCAGTCTTCCTTCTTTTCCACCTGTCTGCTCTCTATTTTCTATTCTCATTCTCTGTCCTTCTTCTTCTTTTTCATAACTATTAGATCTGTAACTGCAAAGATTAAAAACAACACAAAGCATTCGAATTCTTCATTCTTTAGATATATTTTTCTATATTAAACGATACTTATCTGATGTGATATCCTTATCTCTTCTCTGAAAATATCACGGCACATTAAACATTATAAATATAATACCGTGTAATACCGTAAATTAATCTCATAGGCCAGTATTCATAGTCTGATCTTATATTTAAGGTCATCTTAAGTACTGTCTTAAGATGTCATGAATCAATCATAGAGCCGTATTCTCATCTTAAGACATTACTTAAGACGATCTTGAAATAAGATTCGACTATGACTACTTAACGTAATTAACTTTTTACATAAATTAACCTCTTGATATAACATGCGAACAAACTGTCACTCGTCTCTCTCTCTTTGATTGCAGGTCTAAACTCAGTGGCCCTTTCACCACAACTATTACTCGTGACAGCCGAAATTGGCACGAAACGTATGAAGTACAACTTCAACTGATCGGCATTAATTGTATTGATCAAAATTGTTTGTATAATTTTTGTATAATTTTTGGTCTTTACCCTCGACTGTGTTACGACGAAATAAACTCCTTAACAGCTCCTTCATTTAGATTGCTATCATATCTCATGATATTTTTATATACATAATTTATGGATCCCTAATGACTTATTCCAATGTCTTTAAAGGCCTAACTCTCATTCACTGTCTAATATTTTACTATTAAACTTTCTCCAGCATTTTCAGACATCAATCCTTTTTGTTCTAAATGCTTCACCATATCTTGCAGAAATGCGATACGTTTAAGCAACTTCCGTTTTTGGCGATGGAGTTTGTGAATTTGTTTCTGTTTCTTAGCATTGTTCCGTTTCACAAATTCAATTATCCATTTAGCTTTCCTGGGAGTTGCGACGTCAGAAACACAAATTTCAGATATAAAGCGTGGTTCTGCACTTATGCGTTTTTTTGGAGTGCATATATACTCTTGTTTGAAGCCTGAAATTAAAAAGAGCATGTTATACATTATGTAGACATTAATTTTTTCATTTCAATTTCTTCAATTCCCAACAAAAAAAAACAAACATTGATGTTTGTGTACAATTTCTCACATTCCATATTTTCATTTCCAGTTATTAGGATTTTATTAATATTACAACTGTAACAAGTACCTTCAGTGTCATCATAAATTTTATTGTTATTCCTATTTTTTCCTGTTGATACATATGATATATTGTCATTATCTTTGGGTTTTGCGATTTCCTTTAACAATGTAGATGGTTGACTCTTCATTTCTACATCTACAATTGTAGCAGGCTCATTGTTCATGTCATTGCTGATCATCTTTTCTTCAGATAATATATTTTCCAAATCCCCAATATCTTGATATTTGACAGCTTCATCGCTGATGTACACTTGTTGGATATTTGTACTGATATTGGGTACTGATATTGAAGGAACTGCTCCTGGAAGTAGCCAGTTTCCAACATACTTCCCAAGTGCTTCTTTTTTCCTGTAGTCTTCATCCTTGAAGTGCCATGAACAAATGTACACTTTTGAGACATCATCAGCTTCAGATAACTTACAGACATTTAACCATTTTGAGCGAAGTTGTCGTTCCTTTGGAAATCTAAAATAACATTTTATTTTTTTGCACTGAGAAAAGCGAAATTTCACTCGAATAGTTGCTTCCTTACCTGTGTAAACTGATATTTTTATTTGCATCTGCTTTTTTTTCGCATAAATAGCATCTCCGGGTACTCATGTTTATAGTACGGTATATATAACCTATTATATGCAACTGAATATACAATATATTTTATTTTCCCATTGGCGGATATGATCTATCTAACGTATGCGCATAACGTTCACAATACACTCAGAAAGAGAGAGAAATATATATTCCCGCACCGTGGTTCTGGGACCGGACTTCTCTTTCATGTAGCGATATAGGCCGCGTTCAGTTTCACGTATAGCGCGCATTTACCTACAGTTCATGTCACGTATACTGTAGGGAATGCACGCATAATATGTGAAACGGAACGCAATCATAATAGTATTACATATATGATTCTCAGGATCGCTATTCCGTTTCCCACGTATCGACAGTTATCAAATCGATAGGCGTCGTTGCGCAGTTTTTCCACGGTATAAAAAAGCTGCGCAACAACACCTACCGACACATGGATAACGGAATAGCGACCCTGGGTGCAAACTAGAGATGCCCGATTCTGAATCGTTCGATTCTTTCCCCAAAAATAGGCTTATTCGTGTTGTTGCACTCTTCGCACTTTTCGTATTTAAAACTAGACAGAAGTATATTGGAATGTTTCAAAGAAGCAAAAACGAGACAATCAACTCGATTCTTTCTTCCAAGCGTCTGATTAGGCGTCCAGCTCTTTTTAAAAGCAAAAATTATTAAACATGCAAGCAGCACGAATAATCCTTTTTCCCTTAATTTGTTAGGGAAAGAATCGAATCGATTAAGAATCGGGCATCTCTAGTGCAAACCTATGCAGCGGAATAGCGGAGCGCGGAACGAGAGCGGAACCAATCACGAGCGTCCCACAGTTTTCGCTCGTGATTGGTTCCGCTCACGTTCCGCGCTATGTTATTCCGCTGCATGGGTTTGCACCTTTACGACCTTATGGCTCCTGCACACAGGACGCGGTGATGCTTGCCGCGCGGCGAAAGCTACGCGACAGCCAATTAATATGTTGTTTTTCCGTAAGAGTTAGAAGATTATTACGGAAAGCAGCATATTGATTGACTGTCGCGTGGACTTCCGCCGCGCGGCAAGCATTACTGTCCTGTATGCAGAAGTCAATACCCTTGCATAAAGGCGTAATGCACAACGTATAAAAAAATTGACTAAATAGAGTCCTTCATTTTCATTCTAGCAATAGAAATTAGGACTTTAATTGGTTCATTTTCTTAGGCGTTGTATATTATGCCTTTATGCAAGAATGTATGCTTCCCGCTTTACGTGATCGCTGCCCTAGATGAATCTAATCGCAGTCTAGTATAAACGCACGACTCGTGTTGGATTTACATACGTACATTTAGGCACCAATTATAAATATTTTCACGTGCACTCAATCTTATTTATCAATCGTGTAATTTTTCCCCTAGTATGAGACAATGAAAAATGAATAATTATGCAACACTTGAAGGCAATTGTAAATCTATTTCACCTACGTAAACTTGTGAAAAGTGAATATCTCAGTATATTTTCAAGGTTAGATTTTTCACAGGCTTGCCTAGGGGAAAAGATTCTCGACTCCTAGCTCTTTGCTTATCTAATCCTTTGTTTGAGCTGGCTTCAGTGGAAGTCGCTAGAATTCGAGCGGCGACACGAGCGATTCGGTCGATTCGCATTGGTGAGTTGGATCAGTGCTTCATAGTTCGCGTGACGGATAGGCTGTGAACGGGAAAGCGGGAAAACTCGAGCGGATGCGGATCCGCACGAATGTTCGGTGGGGCGACACGCGGCTCGCCTACGCCGCCTTTGATGTACAGCACTGCGGCCAGTACAAAATGGTCGACGTGCCTTGACCGTGTCGCACGGGTAGGCGATGCGAGACTGCGTTACCCCGCGCGAGCGAGCTGCAGTGGAGTCGACGGCGACGCGTATGCGACATTAAATGGCTATCGCGGGATAATCGCGCCTTGGGTACGTATCTGTCGCGGGTTGCGCGTGGTATCGACGGGAGATCGCGATCGCGGCCGATCCACCTGTCAATACGGACTCTCGCTTTCTCTCTCTTTCTCTCTCTCTTTCTTTCTCTGCACGGCACACAAAGTGCGCGCCTCGAAGCGCGTTGAACGCGCGCGTAAACGATCGCGTCGTCGCGTCTGGCTTTTCGGCTCGGTTTCCTCGCGATTCGCGTATCTTGGCGTTGGCGAACGCCGCGGAAAAGGAGTCGGCGCGCGTCTCCCCAGTTGAGAGAGAAACGTTCCCACGGTGTGCGCGGCGGCCGAAAAAGAGGCGTCGCGCCGCGCCGCGGTCTCGCTTGACGACGACGTTGTCGCTCAGGTGATTTTCTGACTGTTGCAGTCTGCGGTTTGTCGAGCTGAGAGCGAACGTGAGTGCGCCGTGAGTATTCCGGGAGGCACGTGAAAACGATGGAGAAGCGGCAAGAGGTGCTCGCCCCGTTTTCCTCCGGTGAGTCTCCGCGTTGTCCGTAGACTCGCCTCTGCTTTCTCTGTCTGTCGTAAGAAAGAAAGTGCGTGGGGGTGCAGGTGTTTGTTGTGTAGGCGAGTGCATTGTATTTATCGCCAGTCAAACTCGTCCTTATTCACAAAGTATCTTATTCGGCGTGCATGCACAAAAGATATTAGGCGAAAAACTTAAATGTTTTGAAAAGGACGACAGGTCGGTTGCTTAAGAGCTCGTTATGAAGTGAGCCAGGATGTCTTACATCCTGTGCTTACATAGAAAATTACATAGAAAAAATATCTGTTGTGTGTCTCACAAGTTTCCTCCAGTCCTATCTTAAACAATGATAAGAATAATCTAGTAGCCATTATGTCATAGTCTTAAAATATACAATACATGGAACATCTACCGCTGCAAGTATTTCCCTATTGGACAAAGGATATTGTGCTGGGTGTGACTGAATGAAGATGATTATTTTATTGTAGGAGACAGCACTTATCAGAAATGAATGAACGAATGATAAGCAAAGTATTAGATGATGTGAAATGAATGACAAGTAAAATGTAGGAAGAAATAAATGTGGCGGTGTGCTAGAGTGGGATGCGTCTTATATTTACACATATTTGTGAGCTTCATGCATATATATATATATATATGTATGTATGTATGCATGAAGCTCACAAATGTATATATATATACATATATATATATAGTTCACACACATATATATATGTATGTATATATGTATACATACATACATACATATATATGTCATTGCTATTTATGTCTGAATAGAAACAAAAGAATGTTCCTGCAGTGATCAATACCAAATCAAGCTGAGAGGCATTCTCTGGATTCTAAAATACACACATTGTGTCAATTTTATATTGCTTATTAATAGCACATTAGATTATCTCGGTTAAGAAACATTTCCGGGAAAAAAAGGCTGAGCGTAGTTAAATTATCGTTATGTCGTCGGTGCGCTCTTTACTTTAGAATTCATTTTGTTTTAAGTATATTTTAGGAACTATAACGTGTGGGAAGGTCAAGCTTGCGGAAAATTTGGTTTTCTTTTCATTACGTTTATATTTTACCCTCGCACGCGAGCGAAGTCAGCATCTCTCGACAAGCGTCTGACCCGTGTTGAATTTTCGCCGGCATTTAGCGTTAAAGCGACAGTATCAACGCTAAATGGCGCGGTAAAATGTTTCGCCGCGACATTCTATTACGGAAATTCCATCGCGGAGTATCGCAGTTATCTAATAAACGGTAACGGTAATGTTTAACTCCGCACCGGGTGTAACCACACGGAAAAATAATACAACTGGTCTGCAACATTTTAACGAAAAAAGAGGAGGAGAAAGAAAAAAGAGGGATACGAAAATCGACGTGGCGTTTAAGAGAGGCATTGAAACTTTCCCTGAGACGCGCGAGGAAAAGCAATGCGCACCGTTATTCCTTAGTAAACGCGAAATTCTGTTCCGTCATCGACGAGATTATTACCGTAAACGCTATAAGGCTTCCCACTGCACAAGTCGATAAGTATCGCTTATGTGCGAGATCCCGTCGCGCAGAAGGAGAAAGAGGAGGATGAGGAGGAGGAGTGGAAGGAGGAGGAGGAAGCTCTCTCGCGATGAAAGGACAATCATTTCGGGGACCGCTGGCGTTCCACCGCGAAAATCATTACCGCCGGGACATTTAATAATAACGCCGATAATATCGACTCGCGGAGTGTGTGTCGCCCCGCGCGGCCTACATTCAAATGCCAGCTGGAGCGTGAAATACAGTCGCGTCTCTCTCGCGGATTGCCCCTGGTAACCGATGACGCTCGAAGGGTTGTTGTTTGCGTCGGCGATCGCGAAACCTTTCCGCGGCGCGGCAAGGAGGCGGACAGAAAACTGTCAGACAAAGGGGCGGCAAGCGCGTGCCGTTGAGACACATTATTGGAACATTTGCGTGCAAGACGAAACGCTTATCGGCGAATTGAAGTATCTGGTTACTTATTGTGCGCCTAGACGCAGACACACGCTCGCATTCATGCACCTCTCGCACTCCGCGTTGCTAATGCGACCATCAGATTTCGTGTTTTATTCGCCTCATACCAGAGAAATTTTATGCAACGCCATTTCCGATGGCTGAGAATCGGGCGGTCGCAGCGTTGAGTGCCTGATAAAAGACACAGGGACATTGTTTTCGAGTAGACTACCTCGAGTAGACTAAAGCAAGTGTGGACTTCATCTCGAGTGAATCTCGACGTGAGATTCCGACCGGTTCCTCTCTTTCTTCCTCATCACCACAACTGTCGACTGATCGATACCTGTTCTCGGCGAATTCTGCGTCCTCTTTCATAACAAGAAAGTCGCGAAAAGCTCATTAAACTCAAGTTAACGTTAACCGACCGTGACGAGGTAAACATCGTTCGCACAAGCATTTAGTGTGACAAAAGTGTAAGGATTCCTGGGAGAGTGTTCATGACAGCCCCGAACGAAGATATCCGGATGTGGCGTTTGAGGGATTGCTTTCGGGGCAATCCGCGCAACTTTCTCCGGGGGTGGAAAGATACAAATCTGACAAGAATTGCCGACATCGGCGGCGGCGACGGTAGGGTGGTGATGGTGGAGGAGGAGGAGGCAGCAGCAGCGAGTTGAAGGTTGGCGACGGGTTACAGGGTCGGGGGTGCCGAGAGAGTCAAG